ACCTCTTGATCAAGTTTTTCCTCTCTAATTGGAAGCAATGGCGCACAATGAAGATTTGCCGCAATCCGCTATCGACGAACAAACCCCTGAGGGGGGTGGGAGGCGCGAAGGTTTGCCTGCTATCCCTCTCATGGAGGATTTAGAACCCCAGCGACAGAACCCCTGGAGGGATGCAAGGGGGAGGCGGGCTAACAGCCCCCGTTGCTCTCAAAGTCCTGAAAGACAGAGGCGGAGGATGGACTCTCAAGTTCTGGAGGATCGCGTGAAGGAGCGTGACGAGTTAATAAGGAGGATGGCGGTAGACATGGAGTTAATAAAGCACCAGATAAAAGGAAAAGAGGTGGCGACAGGAGAGGGGGGCAAAGGCAACACGTCCCCTCGCCACTCGGAGGATCGTGATAGGCGTACCACACCATCGCAAGCAGAAAGTAGGAGCCTTAGAGCAGGCGACACTCAATCAAGGACTTTCAGGACTCATTACTCCAGGTCTGAGAGAGCGAGAACTGAGAGGTCATATACTGAGGAAAGCACCTATCGACCTTCGCACACGCACCAGACTTCATCTAGGCACACAGAGTTGCCTAGATCATCTGACTTACGAACTGTGCTTGAAGAAAGGGCATGATAGAAGGAGGATACCAGGGCACGCGACTCGCGCAAAGTTTCAAAACTTAGAACATAACCTATAAAATGGAGTAGGAAATCCCTACCTCAAAGAAAACAACCCAAAAGGTGAAGAAAGAGATGAGTGCCCAAATATCAAAGTGCTCCAAATCGCCAAATGCTCAGATTAAATGGTAGCCCTTGCCTCTCTCTATCTTTTTAATGAAGGATCTAGGGTAGAAACACACCCTAAGTGGATCAAATCTAAGAGAGAATGTGAGCAAGGTGAGAGAGAAGTCGGACCTTAGGGTGTGGAATCTAAAAAGAGGATGAAAAACTGATTAAAAACCCGCTGTTGTCTAATTAAACTGGTCAAGCTCGCTCAAGCGAAGACTTGGTCGCTCGAGCGACCAGACACAAGAAATCCTCGCTCAAGCGAAGAAAAGCTCGCTCGAGCCAAGAATGCAATGCTACAGGTCTATACTAGACGCAGTCCCTCGCTCGAGTTAAGAAAATCTGGCTCGAGCCACCAAACACAAAATACAACCCTCGCTCGAGCGACCAAGTACTTGCTCGAGCGACCAACCCAAAAACTGGACAGCAACACTTGGTTTCCGAACCCAACCAACCTGAAACAAACTTGCCCAACACATCCTATAACTCCAAATGAGAAAATAAAGAACGACAACAACAATTATACAATGACAGAATCTACGGAACCTAAGTCCGGACACAATAATCAAATGGGAAAAGACCGGGGTCGCTATAGGGGCGATTCGTATTTTAATCAAATTTTAGAAAATGTATTTGTAATTTATCCAAAAAAACTAAAAGTTTTGCAGCAAAAGTAAATAAATAAAGTAGTGGAATATCTCTTTTGTTAATTATACATTTTAATTAAAAAAATAAAAAATTATTATAAGGCCTTGTTTGGCGTATATTAAAAAAGTTAAAAGTCACTATCCTATTTAAGTTATATCATCTTACATGAGTCATATCACCTCTCTACCACATCACTTCAAATCCAACTCATATTTTATAAAAAGTCAAAAAGTGTATTTATTTAAAACATCGCAAACAACCCCTAAGTTATCACATTAATCACATTATTATTATTATTTTTTTATATATTTTTTTTAAGAAAAATTAAAAAATTATTAAAATAATTTATTTCCAAACAGGACTTAAGGATAAGAAAAATTATTGATCACCTCTGCCACTCCTTAAGATTTAACTCACTCGTGTATGTTTAAGTTGTTAAGGGTAGAGTTATGTTAACAATATCAAATAATTTATTAAAATTTTTACTAAATCTTTTATATAGATGTGGAATTTATACATATGTAACACTACGCCAAAATAGTACCTTTAACGGCGGTTTTCGTTACCGCCGTTAAAAAAACCGCCGTTAATGTCCTGTTTTGGCGTAGTGTAAGTTAGTGTGAGTTTCACACTTATGTAAAAGGTTTAATAGAAAATTTGGTAAATTATTTGAAATTTGTAGTATTTTCTTTAAGAGAAATTATTGATTGGTTTAGAGACATCACGTGATTATATTTCTATTCAATCACAAATCACTATAACTCTCACGTTTCTCAACAACTCAACACAAAATCTTATCATTTCTATTAATTTAAATATATATGAAGTACCGCGTGATGCTTCCCGACTAACCAATAACTTTTCTAATTTTTTTTTTAAATTTTTAGATACACTTAACATAAATATACTTAACAAATATAATATTTGTAAAAAAATATTTTAAAAAATCACCAAATACCAAAAATACAAAATAAAAATGAAAATTCAATATATTTTTCATATTCTTGTGTATTTATTATTTTTTAAAAAATGTTTTTTACTTTTTAAAGTGCAAATGGGACTAAATGGAGCATAAGAAAACTTTTAGGACTAAATGGTTCAACTTTTCAAAAACTAGGACTTATAGGTAAATTTTCCTTAAATATATATGAAGTACCGCGTGATGCTTCCCGACTAACCAATAACTTCTCTAATTTTTTTTAAAATTTTTAGATACACTTAACATAAATATACTTAAAAAATATAATATTTGTAAAAAAATCTTTAAAAAAATCACCAAATACCAAAAATACAAAATAAAAATAAAAATTCAATATATTTTTCATATTCTTGTGTATTTATTATTTTTTTAAATATTTTTTTACAAATATTTTTTACTTTTTAAATACATCTAAATAAGGTGTATCTAAAAAAACTAAAAAATTATTTAAAATTTTAAAAATATTCACTAAAAACAAAAACAAAAAAATTAAATTTTAAAAATTTTTGTGAGAGAGGATTGTAATGATTAGGGGTTGGATTTGATGTTTTGTTTTTTGTGGCTAAAATAGCCTATTTTGTTTTTTTGTGACTATTTTAGCCCCAAACCCACCCAAACCTTCTTGCCAAACATATCTAATGTGTTAGACTCGATAAGATGTAAAAAGTAAAAAAAAAATAATACGGATCCCAATAAAATGACCGAGTGTATCATTATTATTATTATTAAAAAAAATAGATGTATAAATAAGTTATTTCACATATTTATTATAAAGTATTTTAGAATTTAAGGTAAATTATAAATGCACTCCTTGAGGTTTGATTAAAATATAAATTACTCTTGTAATTTTAAAAATTATATTCCACCCTTGAGGTTTCTAATTTCATAACAAATCGTCCTTTTATTAATAAATCATGTTTTATTAACAGTTTTTAATGATATTAGAAATATGTTTTAATTAATAATTTAGGTAATTTTATTATAATGAGATAAAATAATGTTTAAACACAAGTAAATAATGAGATATATGTTTAAGAAATTATCGAGACTCTAAGCAAGTAATTCGAAAGCCTTAGTATGGAATCAATACCTGTTGATTGACAAAATATATTATCAAGCGTAAATTATAAATATATCCTTGAAATTTGTTTAAATTACAGAGTATTTCTTATGAATTAAAAAATTATAAATACCATATTGTTAGAATTTTTTATTTAACCGAATTAACTAAAAAAATGAAATTATAATTGCTCTTTTATATAATAATAAAATTACTTAAATTATTAATTGAAATATATATTTAATATCATTAAAAATTATTAATTTTCTTGATGATTTATTAATAGAATGGACAATTTATTAAGAAATTAGAAATTTCAGGGGTTAAATGTAATTTAAAGAACCACAAGGGGCAAATCGTATTTTAATCAAATATCAGGAGGTGTATTTGTAATTTATCCTATTATCAAATGATAAATAATTATTTTAAAAATTAATTTTTTATAAAAAATATGTAAAAAAATAAAATGAAAATATTTGGGGAGAGAGAGTATTAAGTGGATAAAGTTATGGGGTTGCAGATGTTGTGCAGGAGGAAGACATTAGAAATAAATACATTGTGCCGTTGTTTGGCAAGTTACTTTTTTTAATTTTTTAATTTTTTTTGGTTAAAATAATTAATAAAAATGAAATAAATTAAAATAATTAATAATATAAAATATCACTTTTAATTTATAATT